TTGGTTTGGGTTTTGTTTACATGTTTAGTTTGATTATTTGGATTTTGACCCCTGCCTGGAAGACTACGATTTGGATTACCCTTATATTAATAAACTGCTGCAAATTGGATCTTCTGTCCCGTGTGTGTCGTGACAGAACGAATCCGTACACATACTAACACAGACAGGGCATATATACACAGATCTAACAAGACTAACAATGAACAGCTGGGAACAATGATGACGGGGAACAGCTGTGTGCAATGAACTGATGAGTGACAGTGACAGACAGAATGCTGGGAAATGAAGTCAATAGTGAAAGACACCGTGATAATGAGGACCTCTAGTGACAAACAAGGGAACACAACCAGACACTGTAACAATAGAGGGCTAGCTAGTCCACCTTTCTGAGTTGATGGAACTCGTCTAGCATTGCTTCTAACCATTTTGTGAGTTTCTTTGTTGCCACACAAACAAACACTAAAACTTCTCTGTTCAAACAGAGGCTACAGTTATGTCACAGATCAAACTGTTGATAAACCTTCCTTGTTACCAACACATCACATTTAACTTCCCTGCCTGAAACAGAGGATGAAACACAAAAATATTAGCACGTTACGCTAATCTTCCCTGAAAGAAACGGAAAGGATCTTTCACCTTCCTAACTTTTAGAGGATAAAACCAAAATATTAGCACATAATGCTAAAACTTCCCTGCCTGAAACAGGGGGTTACCAACATATTAGCACGTAATGCTAATCTTCCCTGACAAAGCAGAGGCTACACAAAAATATTAACACGTAATGTTAATCTTCCCTGCCTGCAAGAACAGAGGGTACTTTTTCATCTCTAAAAGAACACTTTTAAAGGGTAACTTTAGTTAGCAAACTCTGCAGCTGTCTGTTAACTTCTTCTCTGAACGGCGCAGAGGAAAACACATGTACTGGTCTTAAGTTGTTCTTTGAATGGAGTGAAACTCACCAAATCTTTAGTTGTACGGAAAGATTCCGTCTGGAAAACTCAGTCAGAAAGGTTAATTCTTTGTTGAAATCTTTGTTGAGCTTGAAGTTTCAAAATTCAGTCTGGAATTCAGTCAGAAGTTCATTTTTTGTTGAGATTCTTTGTTGAGCTTGAAGTTTCAAGATTCAGTCTGGAATTCAGTCTGTGTTGAAATCTTTTGTTGAGATTCAGTTCTGGATTCAGGTATGTTAACTCCATCCGGGTCACGGCACCATCTGTAGGAAACTTATTTTCTTATCAAGTGTAGAAAAGTCAAAGTTCGCAGACCAGGAGATTGTTGAGGTATAAGTTCTTTATTGTCGCTGCAGTCATCTCAATCTAATCTGACTAAAGTGACTTTTCATGGTATCTTATAGGCATTTTAGGGGGAGGGCTTTACATCAAAGGGGGGAAGACAAATGGCGATGGTAAACAGGTTTTGGAAACCTGCTCAGCAGGGGTTCACGCACTGAGACAGGAAACAAATGGTCTCAGCTCAGCAGGGTTTAAACATGTGACACAGGAAAAGCAGACCTTCTCGTACAGACAGACAGGAATTGCTTAACCTTAAAAGCTAAATACAATATTCTACACCGTGATGTTATGTAAGGAAACATATCTGAAACATTTAAAAAATTTGTAATCTTCCACCAGACACTCAGGGTTTCCATGCCTACTGAAAACAGAATTCAGGAATCCAATGACTACAGGTGTCGTACTGTGTAGTCAGTACTGTGTTCAGCGCAACGTCGTGTTCCACTACTGTGCGTCCAAAGCAAGTTACGTCATCGAGGTAGTTCTGCACGTTTGGTAAACCTTTGAGTATGTATGCACTCCATCATCTTTTAGAATACCGACGGTGCTGAAGCCAAACCGCACGATACCCTGCATACCTTCATGCGTGTCCTTCATGCGTGATAAACACAGTCCTTCATGCGTGATAAACGCTGTTAAATCACGGCTCTCAGGATGTAAAGCCACTTGATGATATGCACTTTCAAGATCGATTGTGGAGAAGATTGGAGATCCAGCTAAAGCAGTCAATAATTCCTCCATGTGACGCACGGGGTAACTGTCTATTACAGCCTTATTTGGTTCCTTGACATCTACACACATTCTTATGCCACCAATCTTTTTCATTGTAACCACAATTGGTGACACCCATGGAGATGCATCAATTCGCTCTATAACTCCAGCAGAAAGTAGTCTGTCCAACTCAGCGGACACAGCTTTTCTCACAGAAAAGGGAAGGCGTCGTAATTTCTGTCTAACTGGCACGGCTGAATCTGACACTTTGACTTTATGCATAAATCCTGCAACACAGCCAACTGAGGGTGAGTCCACTTGAGTAGAAAGCTATAACACAGGTTCTGAAGAGCAATATGTGGAGGTTGTAGCATGATCTGGCAGGATTGTATCTCCTTTAATGCACAGTTTAAGAGCTGTTATGAGATCCATGCCCATTAATGCAGTTCCTTTATCCACCACATAGAAGTTCACTGAGCATTTGCTTCAGTCTTTTACTGCGGTCCGATCACATGAATTGGAGTACGCGAATAAGTGACTTAGCATGCTGCACGTGGCTGTAGAGGTACTTCCTCAAAGTAATCATCATACATGCTCTTTGGCAGAACTGAGACAGAAGCACCAGTGTCAACAGTCAGTGTAACAGGCCTCTGAACCGCACCGGCTTCGACTTGAACAGTACAGTGGAGTTTAGCGCTTACATCCTTATCTTGTAGTAACAGTAACATGTACTCAGGCATTACTACTTCATGCATTGTGCGAGTTTGCGTCGTTCTACAGACACGTGCAAAATGTCCTTTTTTCTTGAAATTTTTACAGGTTACCTTGGCCGCTGGACATTCTACCGCATTTGCCAGATGTTTATCCGAAGCAGGTGTGAAGTCACCGTCCGAGGCGATGTGAATGAAGCAGTGGAGCGTGCCAGCTGTTCTATTTTTAGATCCGCCAGCGCCGCGTCCATGTACTTTTGCGTTTCTTTGCACATTCACAGTCTGTACGGAAAAGTTCTGTGTACTCGTTATTGCTTTAGCATGCTCTCCAGCAGATTCGACTTGTTGTGCAATTGTAACAGCATTCACTAATGTTAACTCATGCAGCAAAAGTCTCTCGGATACGCGGATTAGTGACGCTTTCCACCAGCTGGTCACGAATCATATAGGCTAATCTTCATTTGTAAATTAACACGTAGCCGAAAGTTCTCTCAGTGCAGCAACATCCTGGATTATAGACTCACCAGCTTGTTGAGTTCTTTTCCGGAATGTGTGTCTCTCCATAACCACGTTCAACTTGGGTGTAAAATGAGCATGTAAAGCAGTAATAGCAGCGGCCATTGTATCGTCCGTTTCTGGTAACGTGTAGAATATTCTCTGCCCCTCCGTGCCCAGGCAATTTTTCTGGCTTCCGACCATTCCTGTCCCGGACAGCAACATAGTGTCGGCCCAGATCTGGCCCACATTCGGGCTGTTTGGATTCCAGGTGTACCAGATGTGGGCCGGATCTGGGCCGATATAGATAATTCTGGAACATCCACTCCCATGTCTTGAAAGGAATCGCGGGGTCGCCCGGAGCAGGCAAGAAGAAGTTAGGAAATGGTGCAGACGATGCCATCTTTGCAGCAATAGTCGGTCACCTCGTCGCCAATTTGTTGTGTTATAGGTATCAATACGAAGCCAGGCCACAGCAGGTGAACGGGTTTCCTTTATTACTCACTCACACAATTACTCGTGCTCATCCTTCTACTCTTTCTAAGCTTCTTCTATCTGTATTTCCCTCCTAATACCTACTTCCCCCTAGTGGTCTCAGTAAGTATTGTACTGAATAACAGGACACCAAAATGTCCTCAATAATAGCAATAATAATCAGATATGAGCGGATTAAATTAATCTATACCCTGCGGAAGTGATGGGAGTGTAATATTGTAATATTGGAGCAAAGATCTGCAAACAGAAACTGATGCTGCTCCATGCCAGATATTTGCATGAGCAGCAGAACTATGAGAAGATAATGTGAGTTAAGTGGAATAAGTTTGGTTATGACCATTTCTTTTCCGTTTTTTGCTTCTCTTTTAACACTAAAATCATATTATTTTTTACATCAGAAATACTCAATGAAGAATGAAAATTTTGTCAACCAGCCCCAGTCTCCCTCACATTCTCTGTAGGCATATCTGTTCTCAAGGGCATCTGATATATCACACAGCTATTTCCAAAAAACAAACAAACATTCTAAGTAGTTTCCAAAGTCATTTTATTTCAAACCAAGCCAGAGAAATCACATATTTAATAAAAAAATGTAAGTTAATAAGCAAATTAATCAACATTTGTGTTAACCAGAGACATAACATGACAGAGTCTTTCTGAAACTTCTATTCAAACGAACCAATTGCTTCGCAAAATGAATCTTCGAGCTCTCAAAACTTCACACACCGACAACATCTGCTGGTTCACTGCAGTTTTAAGGAGAAAATACTCAGCAATGCTGTCGACTTATGAATTTGCACATGGTTTGTCTTAAAGCAAATTAAAACACCACATAGACATATACACAACATTAAAAACTTGATTTTCACCACAGGGGGACTTTAAAAATAGCCTTAGCATTTATGGAAAAGCTAATATATAAGTTTACACTTTAAGTTAAATCACACAAACACACAAATCGATTGTTTTGGAAGTTTATGGTGACAATTCTATGTTTGAAATATGTCATAGATAAATCAGCACAACAAATATAAACACAGAACTAGAAAAGCTTAGTTACAACAAATGTGACGGGAATGTGTCCCCTAATATTTAGATTAATGGTCGATATATATGTTTTTTTTTAAGTGATCGATTTTTAAAGTTGTACCTTTGGTCCCCCTTATTCTGAAATATTTTTGTACATCTGCAGTAAATCATTAAAATAATACAGTGATAAACATGCAGTGCTCAACATCAAATCTTAGATTTATAGAATGATAAAAAAATAATTATCATAGATTATATGTACATTTATTCATTTAGCAGACACTTTTATCAAGAAAATCAAGACAGCAAATATTATCAATAACATCACCAGCACATAGCAGCATTTCTCACAGACATCATTGATGGATGAGTGTGACCTTTGACTCTGATTGAGTTCACTCTTCACTGACCGTGACTGAGCTGCAGATGGAGACTGTGAGCGTCTGCAACACGGTTCTATAATAATCTGATAAGAATCATTCAAAGTTTTCCTGAGGAATTTGTTTCTGCTTAACCTTTTAATGGCCTTGATGAGTTTAATGCGAATGCAGTAGGTGTGATTCTGGTCAAAGTTCACTGGATCTGAGTGCTGTGTCACATAAATCCTGTCGAATCGTGGAGTGGACCAGTGAGATTTAAATGAAACAATGATGCGATCTGTGTTGCTGTCATCATCTGATCGTCCTGTGTCATCCTCAGTGACATATTCAGGCAGTGAGTCAGGGGTGTTCAGGTTGCCCACCTCATAGTACGGAAGATTCGAGTAAGGAAGAAGTCCTTCCCTATTATGGAATAGACAAAAGCCAAAATCTCTATTTGCAGGGTTGCAGAGTGCAATTATACGACCATTGGAGTCAATATCAACACATTCATGAGCAAACCACCACAGCAAGTTCAGACCGTGTCTGGGAGGAGGCTGACCAAACCTCGACTCTCTCAGATCAGACAAATTATACAGAGTCTGCATCATGTTCCTGCAATCCTGCTGAAAAAAAGAGTATAAAACAGGACTGGTTTTACTTCAACAATAGTGTACATTTATTTATTTATTTAACAGCCATTCAGTTTTTGTGGAGTAACAAGTGGACACAGTTGGTTTCATTTCTCTTTAAACACACACCCACAGTACAGCCCATCTGGACTATGCTAACGGTTACGTCGGAGCTATTTGGTGAATTGGTGTAGTTTAAAAAAAAGGATATGAAAGCAGCATTCTCTGGTGTAAAGTTTAAAATATATCCTATATATTATTTTAAAAAAGCAACAAAAACAAAAAAGAGCACTGAATACTGTAGGCCTACCGTGTTCGCGAGCTGTGAAAGGATCTGAGTCTGTGTCGGGCACGCGCTCACATTACTATTTATGTCTTGTTTAGTGGGCGGCGAAAAATACGTAAAAAAGAAAAGAAAAAAAACTCAGTACAAAAACTAACAATGGACTTTTATGGATGATTATCGAGGGATGAACATTTATCAGAGAAACATTCATGTTGACTAAACCTACACTAGACTCATGAATAAAAGTTGAATAAGAATGTCAGTCTTTTAAAAATATATAACTTTTACGGAAATTAAAACGGGCTATTTGGTTCAGCTTTTAGTAGGCTACTTGAATATCCCCCCCCCCCCCCCCTTTTTTTTTCCTCACAGGGTTAAAAGTGTTATCAACAGATGTTTTTTGTTGTTATTGAAGGAGTGATGCTTTCTACAGCTGCAGAAGAACAGATGAATAACTGGGAAAGTGAAACTAAAGCTGACGGACAGTAGCGCGGGTTTGTAAGATGAGAAAAACTCTTAGATTTTATTATATTTATAAAGGCATAGTGTCATGCCATTTAACTAATATTGCCTAAATATAAATGGCTGTTTAAAATTGCCATGTAGCCTAGGCTTTATATATGTCACTGTTTTACTCCAAATAGGCCTATAGGTTTATTTTTGAAAGTCAGTTTCTGTATCAGACACTTAAAGCGGTGACTAAAGTTACATTTTCAACTGTTGCTGTCCAGGAAAAAATATGCAATTAATTAATTGAACACATATTGGCTTGAATAAAGAGGAGTTTTTGTGTATCAGTTGACAGTGAGCAGAGGTTAAACAGTACCTGAATGTATTTGTGCATAAATCAGCCATTCAGGGTAAAATATGAGTCTGAGGTGAATAAATAATAAACACATTAGTTCTTCCAGGGAGGGAGTGAGAGGTCAGCTGACTATGTAGGAAACCGAAACTGCAGCTATATGGGGAGGCTGCAGACCTGGAGCCGGCAGATATACGCCCCTGGCAGTTTTACGCCCCTGTTGTTCCTGATGCGTCCAGTAGGGGGGATATACTGCGAAATAACATACGGTAATTAAATCGACGCGTGCACATTAATAACTCGTCCATAGACTTGACAATTTTTTGTTTTTTGTTAATTTAAATATAAACGCTACAGTGTAGATCTGCACGGATTAAAATGTCTGTAGATATTCAGTTGGGCTTCACTCTCTTCACTCAGCCTACAAAAGACTATGAGTTTTTGTGAATTGAAAAATTAAAAATACACATCAATTATGTTATGACAAGTATATGACCTGCTGCAGTTATAGGCCTATATTCACCGTAGGTTTTTATGGGAGACTGTGAGAATTTATATAAAGTTACATTTAGATATTAACCAAATTTAGCCAATTAGACAGTACCATGTAATCATATGGATCCTCGACTAAATATATGATGTAGCTATTATTCTCTATTGGTCGTCATACAGCTTCAAAACAGTGTCCTAGCATTTTATGAAGACAAACACAATTTATCCCTTTTCTAAAATTCCAAGGTCCATTTAAAAGAAAGACACAATATTGTTGTTCACAATTTTTTTTATTAACATCATTTATGAATTATGATGACTCCCCTATGGTTTGCCCCATTTCTTTAACTATTTTGAAAAGGGCATACATGGTGATTTTATCGTGTGTGTGTGTGTGTGTGTCTGTGTAAGTGTGTGTAATTGAAGATCAGGAGCAAATTGATGCAATCCACACTCACCTGACATCAAAGTACAACGGCACAAGCACTTGTTGGTGGAACAATAGTGGGAAAAGTGTCAAGCCACTTTGATTTCCACTTTGCTTTCTTTTGGTCACTCACCGATGATGGACTGTGCAGAGAAAATTGAAAATGACATTAAAACCATGTCCATGTATATGTCTCTGTAAGTTGTTTATTTTGTAAGTCGTTATGGGTGTTTATAAGTTTAGAGAGAGATTTTCATTTTCTAGCTTAAGCAAACACACACCTTTATGAGATGCAAGTTAAAAAGAATTTGGTAAAGACAGAGTATGATAAATCCCACATTAAGTGCACATACCCTACATTTTAGTCCAGACCAGTAAGCTATTTTAAGAAAAAAAATTATATTAAGATATAAATTATATAATTAGATCATTTCATAAGAAACAACTCAAACCAGAATTTACATTCAAACCAATATGGGAAAAGTTTTTAATGTGGTTTTATTGTGTGATCAAAATAAAAAAAATAAAAATATTTGAGTGAGTGTGCAGTAACTCTTTACTTGGAGAGAGAGATCTACATCCATGTATACATAGCTATATGCCTATTATAAATGTGTCTTTTGTGTGTTCACACCATAGACTGTAAAAAAACAAGTTTATATATTTCCAATATCTACTATAATGTTGCCCCGGAAACCATGTGGAGTAGGCTATGTTTTAATGCAAGGAGTTAACAGGGTCTTACAAGAAGAGGCCATCTCACGCAAGCTAAATACTGCAGGCAACAAAAGAAAATTAAAAAGAAAACGAATTTTAAAGTGAGTAGAGAAGACTAGGGTTTCTAAAAGGTTTCTAAAACAAATAATATCATTGAGTCTGTTATAAAGAACCTTTAATTTTAAAGAATTTTAGCTCAACATCAGAGGTCTCGAGTTTCACAAACGTATCTAACAATTAAAAACATACAACAATATCATTATTTTGACACATCTATTGAATTGATATCCAATGTGCTGTTGCATCTTTAAATATGAACACATTTTAATTTGCAAAACAATTAAAAGGTCTTCAAATATAGATATTTGGCACAGACTGCATTATTTATGTGACTTGACAACAAATTTGCGGATGTCACTGAACTAATGAAAGGAAGATATTAATGTTATTATATAACATTTATCACCATTGAATAAGATTTTACCTCGTGTCTCACATGATCTTAAATATTTGTCTACATCATTGCAATAAATCATTAAAAGAATACAGTGATAAATATGAAGTCCTCAACATCATATCTTAAATTTACAGATTGAAAAAACATACATTTATATTTAAATATATTTATCATGGATTATATGCAGGCTACATTTATTCATTTAGCATATCACTTTTATCCAAAAAAGACAATTGCCTAAAAATGACAAGCTTCAATACACTGTTTCAAAATTAAAAGCAAAAAAACAACAACATGCAGCTGTAAATAAAAACTATATTTTCAAGTTTAAAAGCAAGACGAAAACAGCAAAAGTGAAGAACATACAGATCAGTATTTTGCAGAGTTTTGCACAGACAGGTGTAGTGGATGAATGTGACCTTTGACTCTGATGGAGGTTTCTCTCCGCTGAGCGAGCTGCAGATGGAAACTGTGACCGTCTGCACTGCATTTGATAATATATCTGATAAGACTCGTTCAAAGTTTTCTTGAGGAATTCTTCCCGGCTTAACTCTTTAATGTCCTTCATGAGATCAGAGCTAATGCAGTAGGTGTGATTCTGGTCAAAGTTGGTCTGATCTAAATGCTTTGTCACATAAATCCCTTCAAATCGTTGATATTTAAATAAAACAATGATGCGATCTGTGTTGCTGTCATCATCTAAAAGTCCTGTGTCATCCTCAGTCACATATTCAGGCAGTGAGTCAGTGGTGTGCAGGTTGCCCACCTCATAGTACGGTAGGTCAGAGTAATGAAGAAGTCTATCAGCATTATAGAATCGGTGGAAACCAAAAGCGCCATTTGCAGGGTTGCAGAGTGCAACCATACGACCATTGGAGTCAATATGAACACATTCATGAGCAAACCACCACAGCAAGTTCAGACCGTGTCTGGGAGGAGGCCGACCGAACCTGGAGTCTCTCAGATCAGACAAATTATACAGATTCTTCATGTTTCTGACAATCCTGCTGAAAAAAAAAATGTAAAGAACAGTACTGGTTTTACTTCAACTATAGTGCACTTGTAATGCAAAGAAAGATATTTTTAATATAAAACATACAATTACAGAAAACCTGCAAAATGCAAAACCAAGAAGGACCATAACAAGCCATAAAAACAGCCAAACTTCGGTTGAATCATCTTATTTCCTCATTGGTGAAACATCACTGTTATTAATCAAATTCTACATATCTGATACCCTTTGCATGTTTATTTACTCAATATTCGGGATAATTTGACAGTTTTCAGCAGTGATCACATTTATGTGCATGTTTTAAAAAAATCAGCAGATTTTCTCTCAAAATCAGCAGAATAAATATTGGTCACTTACACAGAAAGTCAAGCAGAAAGATCTCTGTAGCGATATAGAAAGACTGATCCTCAAGTCTCTTGCAGTGAGTTGAGTGAGGTTTCTGGAAAATCCAGCTAATTTAGTTTCTCTCTCCGTGTTTCTCTGGTAATGTGAAAAAGCTTGTTTTATCCAGCAGTTTCTTGCATTTATCAGCTTCCACAGTGTCTTGTGTGAGATCAAAGACTCTCCTGACCTGTTTTGTAACTAAGTAAAAAATAATCAGCTATATGAGCGCATTAAATGAATCCACCCTGCCCTGCAGAAGTGATGGGAGTGTAATAATACCTTTTGAGGGTGGAGCAAAGATCTGCAAACAGAAACTGATGCTGCAAGATATTTGCATGATATTTTGCATATAAGTTACTCTAACAAGAGTTTTATAGCCTTCACTTATAACAGACATGGTATTGTACCCATCACAGAAAACCTTCATAAACATAAACAACCTACATAAACATTGTTTATGTTTTTTAAACCATTTTGGTTATAAGTAGGCTACCAGGAAATCATTGTAAACCACTGTAAGACTGGAAAAACTGGTTAAGGAACTACCACTCCTCGAGTGGACAAAGGACCTTGCTTAATGTTAACACTTGAACCCCCCCCCCCCCCCCCCCCAACTCACACAATAATCTAAATGGTTTAATGTGAATGATTATCATCGAGTATTATACATGTTAAGTATAATTTGAAATGTCTCAGTGCGACTGGTACAAATGTCTCATTTCCAAATAAGTAAAACATAAGGTTTTTAAGCGTTTAGAGATAACACACACACAAAGGAG